GGTAGAACACGAGGCCGCTCTCCCTGTGCTCCATTGCCCGCCTCGCCAACTGGTTGGTGAGCGCACATCTCCGACGGCAGGCTCCTTCTGCCTTGCTGACTCATCGAGACTCCCACCTGCAAGTCAGGGCGGGTTTGGCTCGCCATCCACGAGAGTGCTCCGATCAACGACATGTTATCGTACTTCTGGGTCTCCGTGGCCTCGAAGTGGTCGAGGATGTCCTTGTCGACGTCAACCTGAAACAATCTCGTAGTCGCGTAGCTCGCCTGGGACAGCTTCACAGCTCTCCCCGATCTCGATGTAGGATCCAACGTAGTCGAACTTGTCGGCTTCCAGGTCTCTGATGGGAAAACGGCTGCTGATCTCCTCCTTGAGCTTCTCGCAAAGTTGCTTGTCTCCAACAAGCAGAACATCTCGACGTGAACGCCCAGATAGGCCTGAGGAGGCCCTAGGCGCTCAGTACCATCCTCATTTATGGCGATCACCTCTTGCACCATGAAGATACAGTGATCCAAACTGCATTGTACCACCTTCCACTTCTTGCCGTCGTGGTCCACGGTGAGCACTTGCATCGTTTTCCGGAACTTGTTCCACCAGGCGGCCGGACTGTCCACCAAGCCAAAAATGGGCTTGCGGATGCGCAACAACTGCTCGGGGTGCAGGTCTCCGAGACCAGTACGCGGTTGTCGGAGATACAATTCCCTCTGCAATTCTTTCTTCTCCGCAAAGAAACGCTGCCGTCACGTCCCCGGCGTAGCCGCCCCAGCCCTTGTCCAGATTCGAGGCGAGGATTTGCAAGAGCAAGAGGATTCCTTGCCGCGATGTTGTCGGAGCATGGGGTCGGAAGTCCCGTCAGAGGCTCCAAAGTTTATCGCGGCAAGCTGTTCAAGACGCGATCCGGTTTCTCCTTGAGAGCTTGTCTGCTCTCTTCGACGGACAAAGGTTGTAGTGCAGAGTGTTCGACGTGTTCCTCATTGACGAAGCTCTGCTTCCTTAAAACCTTGGTGCTGATCCAAAGGGATCAGAGCCCAAGGGAGTTCCTTCTCCAGAGCCTTTTCCTTGCCACGTTGTGTCTTGGGAAACTT